TTGTGTTTGTCGTTGGCGGCGGTGTTCCGAAGAAGGCAGCAGTGGCACACACCGCAAACGCCGGGATGTCTACAACACTCTGTTGCTTGATTGCGTATCACGCGCATTATTTTGGGCGTCCGATTTCGGATCTGTGTGTGTTGTAGTCGTGGAAGAGGATATGTGGGGAATGACATCGGTGACATGTACTTCACACTCCACTGGAGCCACACCGCGGTGTGACCACCGTATACCGAGGGCATGCCCTGACCATATAGAAGAGGTCGTTTCAACCCTGACAAAACGTAGGTTCGGTGTATCTACAGTGCCTCTGAGTAGACTGGTATCGTGGCCCCCTTCACTTCTTTCAGCACAAGTGACAGGAATGCATCCAAAACGTTTGCAGCCTTTTCATTGCCTCGGTCGACTTGCACACAACCTGGTCAACTAAACCACTAGCAAAGTGTGGTATTTCCAAGTATGCTTGAAAGGAGTACGTTTGGGGATCGCCGAATAACCCGCACAACCACGTGGCGGTCAAACGTCACCCCCAACCTTGTTGACTACGTGCATGGTTAAACGTGCGAGGGGTAATACTACCCGATGCCTGCCTGCCGGTCGTGCTTGGCGTGCAGATTCGCCTGAGGAAAACGTCGAGAAAAGCACCAATCGACAAAATCCAAACCAGGAACGCCATAACCGTCACAGATCGGGTAGCAAAGTCACGACGCTATCAAGGGGAGGGGCTAACTCATACCACTCATGCACAATGTTTCAAAATACTTCTATCATATCTCAAGTTGGCGGAATGCTGCTTGACTCCAACAACCGACACAAAGATGTTTTTTGTGTGACAAGCAAGCGCGTTTTGTAGTTTTTTTGTTTGGTACAGGAAGACGGCCGAAAAAATATGTGACGGCAAGTGCATTGGTTAGACAGCAGAAGAACGGTAGCTAAAACTGACCTTGTTTGCTATTCATCCATTTATGCCCAGCAAACTTGCCAGACAATGGCCTGGAAGCCGAGAGGTGATTCTCGTGTTGTAAAAGCAGCTGCAGGAACGCGCCGGCGTTTTGTGTTTCTCGCCGATTGGTCGTTGAACGACGTTGGAAACGGCGGCCCTGGGAGTTACGACAATTACATGTGCGTGTCAATCTCGAAATACGTCATGTACCGGCAGGACTTGCACTCCCTGTTACTTGTTACTGCGTCTCGCTGGGACCACGGACCGTGCGAGTGCGCCCAAGGAGTGCTGTAGCAACAACAACAATAGGCAGCGTACAGAGATGACGACGGCCTGGGTGCCAAGATGGAATGCTAACCCAGCAAACCCCCATGACGTCTTGTCTGTTCGAGGTAAAGGGAAAGTGCTGCTGCTGTGTGGTAAGGAGTTCGAAAGACTATCACTATCTTGTCAGGGTATAATGACGGGCCTGCACATTTATGCGAGCTGTGCGCGAGCTTGGTAGCCTTTTTCACATATTATGTTTGGTTCCAAACACTAAAAACTTATGTGCTTGTAGCTCTTGCCTTCTTGAAAGGGCCGTCGTTGACAAAATTCTGAGTTTCGTCGCGACAACATAGTCGTCGAGTTTGTTTACCAACCCCCCACCCGACACTTCGATGATGCACCGCGGGCCCTCTGGGTTCGCCGCCATTGCCTGGTACGCTTGTCCGTTCGAGGTCGAGAACCTATCGCCAACGAAGGGTTGTCCAGCGATTTAGTGCGTAGTCACGGAGCAAAAAGTGGGCTGATTTTGGTGTTCTTTATAGGGGACCCAATGTCTCGTCCACTTTTCTCAGTACATTTTGAAGGGGCTCAGGGTCGCCGTTGAATTCTACGCAACAGGACAAAGAGGGGTCTGGGGCATGAGTGCAATATCGTAGTCTCCTTTTTCCCGTGTCCCTTCTGGGAACGAACGTTGTTTGAGGTTACCGTGACACCTTGAGTGCAGGATCATTGCCGGTGCGGTTGGCCGAGCCTCCTCGAGGGTTCGCTCTGCCTCGCTGCAAAACTAAAGACCACCACTAACTCTTGTTGAGGAACGTAAGGACCATTGCGGTATTCGCGCTTCTTTCAGAATGGCCCTTATATTTTCGAACACGTGTTGTAGAAATATATGCTCGACATCAGTGTATTGCGTTCAAGTGCCCTCTGTGGTTTGAGAGAGGCAAGGGAATGCAAGAGGGCAAGATGGGGAGCGCGAGTAGCAGTGATGAGAGCGCACAACCGTCATATTATCCCTTTGTAGAAACGATACGACGATCGTTTTCATCTTGTCCGAGTGGGCCTGGTGAGGGACAGATGCTGACCCCCAAAGTTTTTGTCGATTTTTTTGTTTTGTAAGTGTCGCTAAAAATTGGATAGAGTACCAGGGTCGGCACAACGATTCAATGACCCAGCTACGCCACAGTGCACCATACAAAGTCTAAACCACACCAGTCGTAAACATCATCTTTGATAGACCAATTTCTGTCGATGCTGGATGCAATAATATATTTAGCGGTAAATAGTCCAGCAGAGCATGTGTCACTCCGAACTCGGCTAGATCGGTTTTTGGTACCGAGACCGCTGGATCATGAAAACGAACAAGAAATGCAGCACCCTCCCTCCTTCGATGTGAAGACTTGTCACAACACGGTCTCTCACCTCTCGAGTTCCAGCGAGCTTCGTTCGTCAGTGTGGACTACAGGCGGCGAATGTCGGATTTCGTGTGCAGAAAAAATTCACATGCATGCAGCAGCATGCTTAGGGTCGTCCTAAACGACCTCGGAATTTTACCTGCGATCGCAGGTTTCAGACCCCGGATCGCAGAAAAATAGATGCGGGCGTTTTAAACGAAGCAGAGCACAAAATTTAAAAATCCTGCGATTTCTGCGATGTTGGCGGTCAAACCGCTCCCGGCGCCTTATTTTTTTTTTTCGGAGCCGTCTATGAGGTTCCCCGAAGCTCCCGGCGCCTTCTATTGTCGGCCATGGACCCCAGCCTACTCTGGCGATCAGTTCTAGGGGTTATAGTGCAGCTACGGGGGTGATACAGGTGGCTTGGTGTGCTGTGCCCGATCCAACGTGATGCTCTCAAGAGAATCGCAGAAATCGCAGATTTGTACCTGCGATCGCAGAAAAGGAGCAAAGGTGAATTTTTCGGCCCTGCTCCAGACCTGCGATCGCAGGTAAAAAGCCTCCATATTCGCAAGTAAAACCTGTGATGGCAGGTTTCGCAGTTTTTTTTTTACCTGTTGAGGTCGACCCTTAGTCTATAGTCTAATACATCTCACTTCTCAAGCGGGTTTCCGGCCTCTCGGAGTTCATGTCCACACAACCACTACTACGATATAAGACTGACGTCTGTTGATTGGTCAGCCGGTAAGCCCGGTCGATGCTATGTATTCGAAAAAAATCGTTTTCGTGTGCACTGGACTGTCGTTTATTGGCGGCGGGATGACAAGGACACGAGGAGGAGACACAAAAGACACAATAAAAAAAAAGACACAAGACACTGCGATGATGTTTGACTGTGGACATAGGCGTTATCAGTCCATGTGTAAACGTTCTTCCTGCTGTAGGAGGTAGATAGGTACCCTCCATGATAGGATAAACTCGCAGGCAAGAGCCCCGAGTTCTGATCTGGTTGTTGGCGTCGTCAGCAGCACGCGGTCATTAGACTAGACTAACGTGTTGTACCGCATTCTCACGTAGATCCTGTGATCCTATTGACATGTTGACAAGTTGATAGTCTACATAGGAAGAGTGCCAGGACAGGGGAGCGCCCCCCCCCTCTCTCGCTGCCATGCTCAACTAGAGCAGGGCCGCAATCAATCAAAGTGAGTCCTGCTCCTCTATGGCAATCTGGTTCGCCCCATGTCGTTTGTCACGTTGTCACATTTCGACGCGAAGACAAGCATTGCGGCGAAATACCTACCGTTTCACTGACGAGTCGTTGCGTCGTTGCCATCGTTGCCCTTTTCTCGTTTTCGCTTTCTCTCGTTTCGTCGGATCTGCGGGGCTGTACTGCTGTAGCAGCGACTTGATCTAGAAAAGCAGCAGCATTAGCACCAATGTGATTCATGTATGTAGACCACAGCAGGATATAGCGGTAGGATGGAGTCTGTGTCGAAGCAGCAACGGCCGAGTCCAGGTCACAAGAGCAGATCATCGTGTAAACATAGCCGACGATTCTGTTGCTTGCTGGTGTGTGCTGTTGTAGTATCATGTTCATGCCAAGGGTCGTTGCGTGTCGCCAAGGAGTGTTTTCGACTTGCGCCATACTTTCTGACTGCGGATCAGAGGGTAGCTCTGTGCGGGCAGGCCACAACGACCGCTCCGGCACTTTGCGCAAGGAAGGCTCACGCGGCACCGCGACTGTCAGGCTCTCATATCCTTGAGTTGTGCTCTGGGGCGAGCTCCGAGCTTCCAGGGCTGTGCGTGGCGGGACTGTCCCAGAGTACGGCCAGGAATCTTTCTCCAGATCTCAGGGTTGAGCTTTGTAGAGGTGCTCTTTCGGATGTAAGTCTAAGTACTTCATTGCCGTGTTGGTTTGTGGCAGTACCGGATTATCGTGGCGAAATATGTACCTGCTGTATGCCACCGAGCGCTACAGAATAGGCGCGCGTAGGCCCCCGCCGATCAGAGACGTCAACTTCGGGTGCAGCGTCACTTTCTCATTTTCGTTGCCCCCGTCAGGCATACACATGTCATAGGATATAGTGTAGGATGCATCGCTGACGTCTGTTTCGTAGAAGTCAATTGTTATGTCACGTATTTTTCTCGTGAAAGCCTTGGTATGAACAACCTATCCATTGTTTTTGTGACCCAAAGGTAGACGGCTTTCTGTGCGCGGTCTGTTTGCAAGAGAGATGCAGCAACCGGCTTGACAGCGCTACATAGCGCGGTCATCACCATGTCAGAAAGGGCCCGCAGTGCCGCAGTTCATTCGGCGTTTCTTATCTCCGGGACCGTCTTGTGTGCCACTTACTTTCATCGGCCGTTGACGCCTTCGCTCACAACTACTCCCGTCGCTCATGTCCACCTCCTCGCAGGCACCGGCGCTATGTGTAGAGCACTCTGTTCAATCCAAACGAAAACCTCATCTGGTGGTGGACGTGTGCAAAGGAGCTTCGAACGTAGCGCCAGCCGAGTGCCTCGATCTGTTACCGCAGAACCTTCCTCTTGAAGCAGCGGTTGGCCTTTGCCGCGAAGCTAAAGGCGTGGGGCCAGCCATTTGTACCAATGCTAGAGACCAACTTAGAAATGGACCAGGCGTCACGGTGAGGTTGTGCCGGGGTGCCAGCGGTCAAGGTCCGGCGGAATGTTTTCGTCGGTCCGCCCTCGCCACAGCGCTCTCGACAGATGAACGTGTGGAATTGTGTGTAGGAGCGAGAACGGATGCTCCGGCAAGGTGCGATGCTACAGCAGTATGCAGATGCCAAGTATTGGAAACGTGATCATGCATATACCTATAACGCTGGAAATATCCCAACCACCATCGCAAGTCGGAACACCACTATGTATGGCCATTTCGTAGCCACTTATTGGCATCAAGTACCCTGTTTGACACACCACACAACCTACCATGTTCGTGACGTCTCTCGTTGCCTATCTCTTACGAAAGGACACATGTCTGCTCTGTAACTGACGAAAATTATGGCGACCTTGAAATCCTACAGCCACCTCGTCTATGGCAGGAGCCGACGTCACCCTTAGCATCGATAAAACTTTTAGCTACTCTGCGTAGTAGATACCCAATGTTGTCCGCATCCCGTTCAAGACGATAAATTTAGTCCTTGTCATCGACCGTCAGTGTCATCACACAACCTGTGTACCACGAAGCTGTTCTTGCTCCTCTGATCGTCACTCAAACGATTCTGAGACACCAGAGATCTGTGCAAGTGCCAACCCCAACAGGTGTACTCCGTCTTCCGTGGACAACTCAGCTTAGCGTCCTCATGTACCACCTTCGACGAACTTTTGCTTGCTCTTTGTGCTGATCAACTCACCCGGTTCCCAGATGTGCTGGACAAGTGCGAGATCGTCGCATCAGCCCCCCAAACAAGGTAGCACTGTGTCGTGGAGCTTCTGGTATTGCTCCTGCGACCTGCCTTGCATCCACCCCCCCTTCGCTATCTGCGGAAGACCGCGTGGCTCTGTGCCAGGGTGCCGCCAAGGAGAGCCCGACCGCTCCAACCGCTTGCCTCAAAACAGTGCCGCAAGATCTCCCGTCGGCCTCTGCGGTTGCCCTTTGCCGTGGGGCCGCCGACAAGAAGGCCGCCGCAGAGTGCGTGAAGGTGGCCCGCCACACCGTCGGAGAATCTTCCGACGCGCTGATGACGCTGTGTCAGGGTGCATCATCCGCGGCCCCCGCTCACTGCGCGAAGGCGGCCTTCCGGGCGGGCGCCGATCGACACTTGGCCGCTGTGCTGTGCGCCGGATCGACGTCGCTAGCGCCGGCGTCTTGCTTTGCGGCCGCGCCCCGCCAAATCCCGGCGGATGTCCGAGTTGAGACATGTATCGGCGCGCTGTCCACCAGTCCGGCGCTCTGCCTCGCGGCCTCTGGGCCTCGCGAGCTTCAAGCACAGCCGGATGGGGAGGCCGTATGCCCACTAGACCCTGAGGCTGGCAGACGTCCTCGGAGAGGGGTTGACCACCGATTAGCTGCTCGTGTATGTCGGGACGCATTGGACGACAAACCGGCGTTATGCGCGCGAGCGGCACCGCTCCGAATGAGTGACGGTGATGTGGAGGTCCTCTGTGCGGCCGACGGGCAGCCTGTCGGAGAAGAGACCGCAGATTGCGCAGCAGCCGGTCTGATGATCGGGTTCAGCGGCACCAGTGCCGCCTCCCTCTGCCGCGGGGCAAGCTCGGGAGCGCCTGTCGCCTGCGCCGAGACGGCGGCGCACCGGATAGGGGAAGCCGGACGGCTCGCGATCTGCAAGGGGGCGTCGAGCACTGCCCCCGCGCGATGTGCCAATTCTGTGTCAGGTGCGGGAGTTCCTTCCGCCTCCGAAGTTGAGGAGTGCCGGGAAGCCGTTCCCCGTCCATCCAGACTCCACATCGCAGACCTTGGGCACGAGGGCGAAACTCTGTTTCCCGACCAGCCCATGCACGCCACACTCGAGGTCTGGGATCAATGGGGGGGCAAGATTCACATGGACAGCTCAACGGTGGTACGCGCCTCCGTCGCCTTGCGCGGATCCAACGGTGCCGTCGCGAATGCTCATGGGCGCTTCAACACCTCAGACGACGGCATCGTTCATTTTTCGCACCTGTCGTTCAGTGGGTCCGGAAATTTGACGCTTCAGTTCTTCATAGACGTCAATGACAGCAAGGATGGTGAAGCCGCGAACGTCCCCTTGGCTGCTGCACGAGTAATCGTGGAAGAGACGGAGCATGGCGCCATCATTCGCCGATGTAGGGCAGTGTTCAGCCGGCTTGCTTGTCCCTGGCCCGTGAAAGGCGAAGGAACGAGCGGTGAATGGGTGAGCGACGTGGGGATGGGAACGGGCGCGCCGCGCCAGGCGCGGCCATCGTCGTCGGTTGCGACTGAGGCTGTTTCCACCGTTTCAGGGGGAGCTGGCGCGGCGTGGTACGTGATGACGTGCCAGCAAGTACTGGAGGAGAACGGCATCAACGTAGCTTACGTCTCCTCCCCGGGCACAGAGCCACTCTCGGCTTTGCTGTGGTACCACCCCGGCATCGAGACTCTGGAAACGGGCGCAGGGTTGCCGACTCGAGATCAACCTGCGTGGGAGCGGCTGGGGGTGGATCGGGACGCGAGTGGTCGCGAACTGCGACGCGCTTACTACCGCCAGTCGCTGCTCTGGCATCCGGACCGCTGGGTGCGGTACGCGATACACTCTGCGCGCGCTCAGGACGTGTTCGAGCTCGTAGGCGACGCTTACGAGTGGATGGTTTCTAGCTCTAAAGCTATTGGAGAGAACAACTAACGCGTGACCAGTTAAACAGTGGCAAGATAAAGAACTGATTAATCGTGTACAAGCGACTTATCAATATTGTAGACACCTTTCGGGGATGTTGCAACACGAAAGAACTACCCGCTTCCTGCTAAAACAATCGTTGGCGCTAGTAGATCTATCGTGCTGTTGGCACTGCGTGGAACGATTTCGTGCTGGCGCTGTACATGGGCGCCGGTACTTCGATTGGACTTCACGTCAGCTAAGGCAGACCCGCTCAGGTTTATTTTGTACTTCAAATTACCAAAGATCTCTGCTGAGGAAGTATTCTAAGGTGGGCGCTTGAACGCGCACATGCGTCGACAACGTGCAACAACCTGGCGGCTCGATGCTGAACACTGTTTTCTCATTTGCACAAAACAAACGCAACACTCAGCATGCCACGATACCAACTCCTATGCCTACGTATAGGCATCCGACAAGCCGTGCTCGCCCGTGAACAGCGCAACCAAAGCTCATTGCAAGGACCGCAACGCATCCATTCCCTAGGTTCCATCTCTGGTAGGGAGTCCTTCTTCATGACCCCTATCGTCATCGGATGTCGACCTCTGTTCCGCGCGTTGTCAACACAACAAAAAAAAGGCACGTCACTCAACTCTCGTCTGCCCTTCTTGGTGGGCAGCGCAAGCCATTAAAGCAAAAAATATGTCTGTTCGTAGAATCACCAAGGAATGACGTCGCCCTTGAACCCCCAAAACGTTCCCGAATTCGACAGGTCTAGCTCCTCGATTCTATCCGTCATGCCCGCCACCGACTCGTGGGTGTCAACCAATCCGGAGTCGCCGGTCATCCTTGTCCTCACCCAGCCTGCAAATACACGCACGGGAGAGTGCAGCTTTGATGAAGGGTCTAACACTCCCGGTACCGCATGGATCACAACAAAACCATGAGTAACGACAGTCTAGACGGAACAAACATGCATAAGCTTCGTCATCTTTTGTCACTAACTCACGTTGTATGATTCCAGAACAATACAAAACAAAACCGGTGACTTTTCAACAAAAAATAAAAACTTGGGTAAGGGACCATGTTGCGGTTGTTGGCCCTAGAGCAAATGCACTTTAAGCTGGCTCACCCGGGTGAAGAATGGCAACGGCCATACCATCGCCCTTCAGATCGTGGGCCAATGACACACCAGCAGCGTTGAGTGCGGCCTTGGACATGCGATACCTGGCGGAACCATCATGCGACAGGACGAGAAGATATCGGGCGTAAACCCGTGCACAGTAAGGAATGATCGTTCGTGCAGTATATGGGCGCCAACATCTTAAAATCCTGGGAAGTATCGTCCAGCCGGAGGAAGAAACGTTGCTATGTACTGAAGTCGAAAACCGAAAGGGTGAGAGATTGGTCATGTGCAAAGTATCACCCAGAACTACGTTCTCGTGTTCGTTCGGTCGGTTCCTTTCACATATCTTTGCTACACACCAGTACCCTCGATTCTTTGGTACGGAGTAGGCTTTCTCCAGCCCTACATCCTACCCGTAAGCTCCGCCCGATGAGTTGCCACACACCAGTACCCTCGATTCTTTGGTACGGAGTAGGCTTTCTCCAGCCCTACATCCTACCCGTAAGCTCCGCCCGATGAGTTATCCGCCATCGATCCCATCTTTGATGTGATCAGGATGATTTTTGCCCCAGGAGCAGCCAGCATCCTCTTGCCGAGCCTATATTGTTGGCAAGAACAAAAGAGCACACGATTGGCAACTTGAGGAGGTGGATGAATGCTATGCACGTCCTTTGCGAGAAGACTTGTGGGGCCTAGTGGCACCAGTCACACATGACGCTACAGCAACTTCTACCATCATGTCACGGAAGCTTGAATTCAACACGAAAGCTTATCCACCCCTCCGCACATGTGTATCGACACCACCCGCTTACTGCATGCAGCACTCACAGAGTGTTGGTGATTCTCAAAGCACCGTAGGCGTTAACCTCCATGGACTCGCGCAAAACACCTATGTCCAGCGTGTTACGGTCTCGCTTCATGACTCCCGCATTATTGATGAGCACGTCCACCTTCGGGCTGCCTGCCTTCTCGAGGGCGCTAACGAGACACCCCGCCCCTTCGTCCATGGTGACATCCACCCCGTCCACGACGTGGATGTTAGGGTTGCTGTCGAAGAGCGAGCTCGCGTCCGGGGTTGATTTTCGTCTGTTCATGGCGATGGCGGGTTCGTTTCAGTGCGACGTGGAGAAAAGGAAACGCAATGAAGGGTAAGAGAGCCTCGGGGCTAGAGAGGGTGCTAGTTGGTGGCTATTTCGCGGAAGGATGGGTATTGACGAGTATAATTGGACCAACAAGCGCAGCAAGCGACCAAAGACGTGTTTACTCGGTGGACCAACATACACCACACGCCCGGTGTTGTTTTATCGAACCAATCAACCGTGCTTAGCTCTTCCTAGTACCACCTCCCCTTGCGTACTCTCCCGCGATCAAGAAGCGAGTACTTCTTACTCTTCCAAGGTCAAGAGACGAGCTCATGGTCACAGGCTACCCCAATCCAATCTCCATACATTCCAAATGCTGGTTACGTATCAAGATGCGGTACACCCGTACCACTTACGGTACAAACCAAAATTGGCCTTCGCGTTGGATCCTTGTTTCGATCTAACAATAGCTTGATCTGCGGCTACACGAGGAGTATCGTTAGCCAGGAAACACGATATCTCAGCTACTGCTGCTCTATGTGGAGGTACACACACGTGCACGTGAGAGGACTAGAGTCTACAGTCATTAACCCTCCTACAGTAGTACCCAGCTAGTTACAGTTTATGGGCCCCGAACACATCGAGTCCGCTCATTGGGAGAGCTGTACAGTCCGGAGAGCCGAAGGCTGACTTGGCTTCAGTATGGAAAGTGTCCCCAAATGCACTAGGGACCCTTTTAACACCGAAGCCAAGTACGCAGTTTTTTCCAGTCCTAGGCTTTACCAACAAGGGGACCCGCGGCTTGGGACCTTGTTGTGTACAGCAAGTCAGAGACCCAGGAGAGGTACATAAACACCCGTGTTGCAAGTCCCACAAAAAGCATAAAAAATATGACAAAGGGGCTCCGCGAAAATTGATGGTACCCCGCGTAAGCCCCCATGATCGGTTGCCCAGCGCACCATCTGGTGCACACCTTTATCACTGCTGTTGCTCCTCACACAGATGGCTACGTGCCTTGAAACCTGGAGGATATACCTCAAGCATGTTGTGTTCTACACGCGCAGACATTTCTTTTGGCCTGGTTTCGCTCTGAACCTGGCAAATGTCGTGCTATCAAAAGTGAAAGAGCTGCTGCTTCAAGCCCGTTCGCAGCTCTCGGAGCACCAAACTTCACGCTGCTACCCGCGGGCATGGGAGTTGACGATTTCGCTCGAAACTTCGCCAGAGTGCATTACATAGGTATAGGTAGCGTTGAGGGGTTGGCAAAATTTGGGATCGCCACTACGAGGGTCGTTCCAGTGAACCACTCTATCGCCTTTATGTCGACCAAGCACGCCCGACGCGTCTACCTCCAATATTGTTGGAAATCTCCCGCAAGTTCCCCCGCAATTTGACCTTCAACGCTCTATCCGCGCTCAAAAAACGATCCAGTCCATTCTTTTTCGGCACCACGCTGTGGAGACGTGCCTAAGGTTGGTTTGGAAGGTTGGCCACACTTTGGACCGCCACTACAGCCGGAGTTGTTGACGAATAACGGCCTGTCCCACAGGGATTCGGCGGCTGTGGGGGCTCCGCGTGATCGATGCCTTGTAATGAAAAAAAAGAACGATTTTTGTGAGGACCTGCAACACGGGTCCACAGGCATCACACAGCAGCACATCACACAACGTGCTATGCATACCTCACACAAGCATACTACAACAAGGTTCCCCAGGCGCATTTCACGCAGCGGAACATAGTGACGACCACGATGGAGCAGGCAAATTTGAGTGCTGTGTACCAAAAGTGTCCCCACTTGGGCAGCACTACTCTACAAAGGAGGACCTCAAAGTCCCACGCATATGGATGGCCGTTGCTGTTTTATGTGTACAAAAGGTGCCCATGCTTGAATACCTTGAAGTATGTTTCATACCCCGTAACTCCCGCCAAGTCCTTTCCGCGGAACACGCTGCAGCACAACAATAGTCACCCACACAGAGTGCAGCGGAAGATCCCTCCCTCAGCTATCGCGGTATCTCGCGTGCATTGTGGTGGGAAACATGAGAGCGGGTGACGGACGCGATGCCCTAGAACGTGTACACCTACGACAGCAATATATCCGCTACAATCCTACGATGCTGCCAGGACTTGCTTTCGTTGCCTACTCAGTCCCACGTACCTGCAGGCGAAGACCTGGTCACCTTTGCTTGCGTAGTGCTTGCAAAACGAGCTCCCGATGCCTCCGTCAGCTCCAGTGACGACGACCGTGCGCCGGCCAGCTGCTGCTGCTGCCATGGAGAAAGATGACGCCGTGCGTACACCGACCAACAGCCGAAACGCAATCGCAATCCTAGATGCTCTGGCAGAGTGCAACATATCTTGCCAGGACACTGCTGCTGTACTGCTGTTGGTCGCCCTATCCCTGCTGCTGCTGCTGCTGGCACGTCACGCTCAAGTGCAAGTGCGGCGTAATCAAGGCGCAATGGGTCATTCGCTACGTACCCCGCAGCCCCCCCCCCCCAGGCTTTAAAT